TTCCAGAGTAGGGAAATTTAGGAAAAAGGCCCCTCAGACTTGGGGAAAAAAAAAATGAGGGTAAAATCAGAGTGTCTTTTTTCGAAATGCCAGCCCTGCGTGCGAGGTCCCTCTAAAAGCTACCTCACTACAGAAGCCATAATGGGCAGGAACATAGCTCTGATACCAGCTGTTATGATAATCTCCGGATATGAATCGAGTTTTGCAATAGAGTGGTAGTGACTATGTTGTGATATAATTCATACTTAGCATTTCTGTTAGTCGATTATCGATAGATAGTATCGACTATGTTGTGATATAATTCATACTTAGCATTTCTGTTAGTCCATTATCGATAGATAGTGTCCAATCCTACTGTAGAAGATAAGTCCGTAGGATGACGTCAGCAAATAGCGCTCGTCATGAGGACAGTCGTTTTAGTCACGCGAACAGTTGCATCTCTTCATTATCATTTAGGGCGCATAGCGCGACAGTGACGAACAGGTATATTAGCGAACAGGTACTTTCCTAGAGCTATAAATCCTTGTTATGCCTTTGTATTGTTAACCTTGAGATTTAAACTTTGAGACTTTAAACCGTGACTTCCACAGAATTATATGCTCAGGTTCACTCTTACAAGACTTCCGCTGTCTTACTAGTCTACCATTCCAGTAAAGATCCTAGGCTAACACTTGAGGTTTTCCAAGTGTTCGTGTTTGCAGCTTCTATACTTAGTCTCCTACAACACCTGTCAAATTATTACAGACTACAAATGAAGCATAGGGCTATAAGCAAGCACATTTAGCCTAGCAAGTGAGCTTCGAGGAGGGCCACAAAATACACGCGAGGTATTTTGTGCGCCTCGGGGCTCAGAAGTGTCGGACACGACTACGCATGTACGCTTGGGGGTCTCGAACGTAGTTCGGGACCTGGGTTGTCGGGCCAAGCCTGGAATTCCGAAAGTCAGGGCTGTACTCCAATTTAGCGAGGCTCGCTAAGGAAAAAGGGTTTTCCTTACAGTTAGGGCATCTTGACTTCTTCAAGTTGACCTTAGTTATTTCTTCGATGGACTAATGGGGATTCATAAAAAACAAATTCTACTTGTAATGCGCCTCCGCGCTGTAAGGAATTCCGATTCCTTACTGGGACTCGCCACAGCGAGTATCGCGAACAGCGCGGGTCCGCAGGCTCGGCCCTGGTTTATCGCGCCAAACCAGCCCTTGACGACCTTTTCGGCCCCAACCTGGCCCCGAGTCGCTCCGAACCCGTTTTGACCCCGTCATCCTCGGACTGTCGAGCCCTTGACTGGTCCAACCCTCGACATTTCGACCTGGTCAACTCGCACTATATAAGCCCTAGGCCTCATTATTCAGGAGGACTCTGTAATCACGTTCTGCTATAGTATTCTGCGCTACACTCTGAGTTATAATTCATAACAGCTGGTATCAGAGCCCCGATTCTGCCCATCTAGTTTCCGATAGGGGAGCAGACCCTATCGGGAAAGGGGGCGGAAGGATGCTGATGGCGAGCGCACGTCGAGGAAATTAATTGCGCGGGCGTTGCCGATGCCGTCAGATCTTGTCCGATGGACGGCTGGGATTGGCCGGTCCTCCCCTTCCCCGGGCGTAGACGGGATTATTTCCTGTCGAATAGGTGGCGACGTTTTTGCCGTGTTTTTCGGGTATGTTCGTTAGTGTTTCCGAATTTTCGGGAGTTTCTAGCGAAGTGTTCCGAAAATAGCGAGGAGTCGTCGGGTGGCCGTGAGTTGGTCGTCGCGAGGAGACAAGTGCACGGGAGTCCTCAGGCGGCCGGGAGATGGTCGTCAGGAACGCGCGGGGTGGCGAAAATGGCAGGACGCACCGCGATGGGCGTCTGTCGTGCCATGTAGCTGCATGGTGAAATGCAGTTGCGTCGCTGGCGTCGGCGTTTCTGGCAGGCTAGTTGCAGACGATGGACGGGGCTTCGACACTGTTTCGGCAATGGGCGGATCCGACAATTTCGGAACGACACGATCGCACGAAGCACGTGTGGGTGTGCAGTTATGTGGGAGCCGTCGGGATTAACGACCTCGGCGCTATTCACACGACGGCCATTTGGAGGAGATAACGTTGTGCTGGAGTGAGTGTACTCAGCGAGGGCGACTTCCCTCGTGGGGAGGCGTTTTTCGCGGACCAGCGATTCATACCCCCACGATCAACGGAAATGGAGGCCACCACCCCCGGGTGTGTACTAAGTGTTTTCCACCGGTCGCCGAATGCGTTACTTGTCAGGATCTAAGCAGTGGGAGAAGAACGACGGGAGTACTGGAGCAGATGGGTTAGCGGCGTTCGGGCTGCTACTCGCTCAGCTACGTCGCCCGAAAATCACCATTCCCACCAGGTAGCAGTGTCGACTTGTTAATCGACGACTCTTGGATGAATAAGGGGGGTGAACCTGCAAACTACACTGTGCTGATGGAGTGTCCCTGAAGAAGAAAACGCAAAAAAATGGGAGTTACTGCTGCAGTGGAGCTGAGGGAGTTTACCTGGTGCGGCAGAAGGAGGTTCCGACTTTTGCGGGTGTAGTTTGACGAGTTTCCGACGGAGGCCGGAGCGGTCCAGCGGTCAGTAGGCGAGCTCGTTAAAGCTCCTCTGACTAGAAGCGTGCGCACTCCTATCTCTGCGGATTCTCCTAGTTAGTTAAGCAGCAGCGAAGCGGTTTTGGGCAACCTGCAGCAGCCGCGAGATGGGTGAACGTCTGCGCCGCTAGCTGGCAGGGGTACCAGAGTATTTGAACATTGGGTAACAGCTGGGCGGAGATCGACGGCGTATGATGCGCATTGACCCTGATCGACGGCCAAAAGATCATGCCGAGGCGGTGGACTCTGGTAAACCCTAAGATAACGGGTTCAGTTCATGCGTACAGCTGGTGGAGAAACCGTGGGGAGCGCTGCTAAAGGACGCCGTGTCGCCTGGGCATTTTTACGGATAGTTGTGAAGTGGAGTTACGGTACTTACTAAGTACTGCGAGGTTCCGACATTTTCGGAGAGTTCGTGCAGCGGTTCAAGTGTTTACAGCTGGAGTTGTGCCCGCTATCTTCAGGGGTACGAGCGACATAGACCTACATTTGCGGAGTGTTTTAGTTATATGGAGCAGAAGGGGAGCAGTAGCAGTTTCGGCTCTTACCGAAAATTTCGGCACGTACGGACAAAACGGAGCTGCAGTCGTGTGACCTTGGGTTCGGCTCGAGAGTATTTACTATATTGGGTCAGGACAGGTCATTTTCCATCGCCATCGTCGTCAACTTCTCGCCAACACCCGCTACCACCTCCATTTTCAATTCGCCAGCCAGTATGAACACGACCGCGCCGCATCCTCGCCACCCATCAGGAGTAGTACAAAAACGAGAAGATTGTGCTGGAGTTCGGTGGAGCTGTGTTGGGGCCAACTCGCCAGGAGTGTTTAAATTCTGGGGAAAAAAAAAATCAGTGTGGGAGTATTCTGGAGCAGTATTTGCGGAATTTCATGACCTGTGAAGCGGTTTACCCTGCGGGGACATTTCACGTTTGGAGCATCCTTTGGTACTTCTATCGATTGGAGTTTTGCAGCGGCATCATGGTAGCTGAGTTCTGGGTTTTTCAACAGCAGTTTGGGCATATTTCGACGCCCCCGGCGCATTGGGTTTTCTGGAGTTTTACCTGGGAACTAGGGAGTTGTTTTCTTTTGAAGGGGGGAGAAGGGCAGCTGTGCTACAATTTTCCGACGACTTTCCGGCGTGTTCCATTAACCATTTGCGACCGACATTCGTCATCGTTACGCTTCTGCGCCTGATTTCGTCACTTCGTTGATGGAGTTCGCTGACTTTCATGGGACACTGACGCGTGCTCTCGCATGTGACTCAAACGACATCGTATTTGACGAACGGGTCCTTCATATTCATCGACCATCACCTTATTCGCCCGTCATCATTTCAAGAAATTCAGCCGCCAGGCACCATCATCAATCGACCACTCGGCGGTTTCACTGTTCATTGTCGTTCCGCTGGAGTATTTACCCTTGCCCGTTTGGTCACCAGAAGAATTCGACCATCTTCGACGACTGAGATTAAAAGCGATTGTTTCGACGCTTTCTGACCATCGATTTCAGTTCGACCTCAAGACCTCGTCAGGCCGGCGTAATCAGTACGCTCGACACAGGGTTGAAGACTTACAGTCACTTCGGGGATTAATTTAGATAAAAGGTTCGACCTCGATAAAGGGAGGGCTTTCATTTAGAAGGGGGGAGAGTGTAAGGAATTCCGATTCCTTACTGGGACTCGCCACAGCGAGTATCGCGAACAGCGCGGGTCCGCAGGCTCGGCCCTGGTTTATCGCGCCAAACCAGCCCTTGACGACCTTTTCGGCCCCAACCTGGCCCCGAGTCGCTCAGAACCCGTTTTGACCCCGTCACCCTCGGATTGTCGAGCCCTTGACTGGTCCAACCCTCGACATTTCGACCTGGTCAACTCGCACTATATAAGCCCTAGGCCTCATTATTCAGGAGGACTCTGTAATCACGTTCCCTTATAGTATTCTGCGCTATACTCTGAGTTATAATTCATAACACGCGCCGTCTTCCGCGCTGGCGTCACCTGTAAGGAATTACGATTCCTTACTGGGGCTCGCCACAGCGAGTACCGCGAACAGTGCGGGTCCGCAGGCTCGGCCCTGGGTTATCGCGCCAAACCAAGCCCCTTCGACCTTTTCGGCCCCAACCTGACCCCGATTCGGCCCGAACCCGTTTTGACCCCGTCACCCTCGGACTATCGAGCCCTTGACTGGTCCAACCCTCGACATTTCAATCTGGTCAACTCGCACTGTATAAGCTAGGCCTCATTTCTATCGATATTCAGTCTGTAATCACGTTCCCTTATAGTATTCTGCGCTATACTCTTGAGTTAGAATTCATAATATCACCCATGCTGTATCGGGTCCAAGCATCACCGAAAATTCTAGTTCCGCTGATTTCGCAGGCTTCGCCGTACGCTGAGCAGCAGAGCGATGAAGAGGATCTGTAGATAATTCTCTAGTTTATTTACGAGGGAATGCGATTTTCGCGGTCAGGCGTGACGAGTGGGTCTTGAATCACGTGTTGGTGGCTCCTCGTCCCAGCAACCGTCGTGGTAGATGAATTAGGAGGGTTCGCTGGGAGGCTAGCGGTCAGTGGGATCCAACATCGCCAACATCTTCATAAGGTCGACCAAGTAACGTGGAGACCTCTCATGACGCCACATGGCCTGCCGTCAATGCTGAAGGGTCATCCAATGATAGGAGCCGGGCCACTGCCATCTGGCAGCGCGCCTCAGCGCGACTGGCCTCTCTGGAGCGTCCACGTGGCACTGGCGGTGGTGATGGTAGGTGCGCGGCGAGAAGACGCTAGTTACGCGAAAGACGCTCGGAAGCAATAGAAGCACGAAGAGCGACTGGCCTCTCTGGAGTGCTCACGTGTGGCCTTATTACTGGATGCTGTGCAATCTCGTCACCGCAGTCTTCTCTCCCTTTTCCCTTCCCCGTCATCTCTCGCCGTTCCCCAGAACGCCACCCCTCGCACTGCTACTTCCCCCTTCCGCTCTCCCCATTCTCGCATCCCCTGTCCTCTTCCCCCTACATCCCCCTCCCTCCGCCGCGAGCGCGCAGGTGAACAACGGCGTGTACCACGTGCTGGCGAAGGTGGCCCTGGCAGCGGGCGTGCACCAGCTGGTGTTCTGCGTCTACCGCGACGCCATCGCGCTGCTCGCGCTGCTGCCCGCCGCTCTCACGGGCGAGAGGTGACGGGGAGGGGGGAGCGTTGGGGGGAATTGGTGGTGGGATGGGCGTGCTGCAGGTGCTGGTGTGTTGCCTGCTGCGCGTGTGTCACAATGGCCTCGCGCTCATACTATGGATAAGGGGGTACGGGAGGGAGGGTGGGACGGAACGGGGTGACGCAGCACAGCATGCACTTGGCGTGGGTGTGGGAGCATGGTTGCTCGTCTTGTCTCACTGCACCTGCCACCTGTGGCATGGCGGCATGGTGAATGGAAGAGGCCGCAGTGGATGGCGCAGTGAAGGGGCAGCGGAGAACAGACTGCATTGTGCGTGCCTCAATTGTGCGGCACAGCGGCATGGCCTTGCTCAGCACAGGAAGGCAGCGATTGGCTGGTTGACTGTGCTGTGCGTGGGTTGTGAGCACGAGGGAGTATGGGGGGCCGAGAGGCGTAGCGGCCGCTGCCAGCAAGGATAGCGGAGCAGAGTGCATGGGACGGCCACGCAGGAGGGAGGGGTGAAGACTGAAGGGCCCCACAGGCGCGCAGTGGCCCCTTGGCATGTGCGCCTCGTTCTGACCCCTGCGTACCGTGCTCGCACTAATGTGCAGGTCGCTGCACCATCTCATGTCACCCAAGCTGCTGCTGCCTTTCTTTCTTCTCGGCCTCACAGGGTGAGCTCTCTCCCTCACCACCCCCCCGTTGACCCTTCCTCTCGTGCCATCACATCGCGTCTCTTCCCTCCTGCCATCCACTGCTCCGGCGACTCGTCTTCCTCTCATCACTGCATCGCTCCCCACATGCCTCTCCTCCTGGCGCACTCCGTCGCTCAACGGCAAGAGCCACAGAGCAACTTCATGCATCCACCACACCTCTTCGACTCACCCCATTCGCCTTTGTGCGCCGCCACGCTCACACGATTCTCCCCCCGCCTTCATCTTCCCTCTTTGCACGTGCATCGCTTCCCTGCGCCCCTCGGCCATCTCCCCTCCCTCCCCTTCCTCCCCTATCTCCCCTCCCTCCCCTACCTCCCCTCCCTCCCCTCCCTCCCCTCCCTCCCCTCCCTCCCCTCCCTCCCCTCCCTCCCCTCCCTCCCCTCCCTCCCCTCCCTCCCCTCCCTCCCCTCCCTCCCCTCCCTCCCCTCCCTCCCCTCCCTCCCCTCCCTCCCCTCCCTCCGTGCCCCCCACTCCTCCCCCACCTCATGGCACAGCATCCTGGGCAACCAGCTGCTGTTCCTTGTGGGGCTCAACCTCACGGGCCCGGCCACAGCGGCAGCGCTGCAGCCGTCCATCCCCGTCTTCACGCTGCTCCTCGCCCTGCTCCTCGGGTACCCCACTCCACTCCCTTTACTCCCTGCCCCCCCGTTCGCCACACGCCTCTCCAACCTGTTCGCCGCACTGCCCCTCAGCCGTGCCCATCCCACTGCCCCGCTCGCTTTTGTGCATTGCTACCTTCCACAACATTTTCCCGCTGTGTACCGCATGCCATCACACTTGCTCTGCCTGCTGTTGCTCTGTTGCTTTGTTGCTCTCCTGCCTCGCCTTTCTCGCTCATGCACCTGGCGCCATTCGCTCTCTCCTCCTTTCGCCGACCTCTCCCGTCTTCCCTCCCGTCACACCCTCTCCATCCTTGGTCGATGCCAGCAAGCTCTACCCTTGCGCCATGCTCTGTCAGTCCGAGTTGCCGCCGCAGCAGTATGGCCGGCCCTACATGCGCTGCGGGAACACCATGCTGCTTCACATGTGCGTCACCCACCCCATTTTCCGTGAACAATCCCGTTCCGAATCCAGTGCTCCCCCCAATCCGCCCCACCCAACCCTGCCCATGCAGGCTGGGCTCCTTGAACCTGCGGCAGCACGTCCACCTGCGCTTGTTGGAGCTTGCCCTGTGAGCGTGGGGGCATGACCTTTGAGGCGACTCAAAAGCCAACTCTTTTCTGGTGTCACGTGCCCTTCCAGTGCAACCCCTGTAACCGCACCACCCAACCCTGCCCTGCGTGCAGGCTGGACTCGTTGAAGCTGCGGCAGCGCGGCGACCAGCTGCGCCTGGTGGGGCTGGCGCTGTGCGTGGGGGGTGCTGTGCTCATGGCCGTGTTCAGAGGGCCGCTGCTGCTGGGGGCAGGGGACGGTGAGCCTGTGCCACAGCTGCAGCAGCAAGGGCTATCGTCCAGTGCTGGTGGTGGCGGTGGAGGGGGGTGGGCTTCGGGGTGGGTGGGAGCGTGGAGCATGGGCGTGGTGTCGCTGGTGGGCAACTGCATGAGCATGGCGGCGTATCTCACCATCCAGGTCACCTGCCAGCTCCATTATGTCACACACACGCCATTCCTGGTTACCTGTCAAGCTTTGCGCTCCACTCTCATGGGTCCTGTGGAAGTACTCCCGCTATTTGCCTAGATGCACCCTCTCCTCTCCCATCTCTCCTCTCGCCTCTCCCCTTTCCCCTCTCCCCTCTCACCCCCACCTCCCCCATCTCTCCTTCCCTGCCCCCTGAGTCCAACCCCTCACCTCTCCCCACTCTCACCCCCACGTGCCCCCCTCTCCTCGCCTTCCCCCAGCTCTCCTCACCCAGGCCCTTTCCTTCCGCTCCATTTACTCCGGCCTTCCTAACACCCACAACTTACTTTCTTCCTTTCGAGTGCTGATATGACCTCATTTTCCCCCGACCGATGCTCCTGCCGGCACACTTAGCCGCAGTTTCTCTTGTGCAACACCAGCAAGTCCCCGCATGTCATCCACTGCGCGCCCCCTCATTTCATGCCCCCTCTAACTCTAACGGCCCCTCCTTCCCCTCCCTCAGGTGCCTGTGCTGCACCGCTTCCCAGCGCTGGTGACAGCCATGGTGTATGTGGGGAGGGGGGGCGCTCATGCCGCGCATTGCTCTTCCGTCTCCTCACTGCTTCTCCTCCTGTCCCCTTTCTCGCTTCCCCTCCCGGCCCCCCTCTCTCCCTCACCCGCCTTCCCCTTCAGGTGCCTGTGTTGCACCGCTTCCCAGCGCCGGTGACGGTGACGGCGATGGCGTACGTGGTGGGCGCGGCGCTCATGCTGCTCATCGCCCTGCTCGCCTCGCCGCCCTCCTGGACCGTCACTGGCTGGCCGCTGGCCGCCGTTGTCTTTGCCGTGAGATGAGGAGAAAGGGGAGGGGAGGGGAGGGGAGGGGGGCGCTGTATCTAGTGTGGAAGTCTTGTTATGGGCGGGCACTGCATGGCGGCTTGTGGTTGTTGCCTTTTTGGCTAGATAAGGACTGCTGCCACTGTCAGAAGATGTGTGGAGTGGAGTGGAGACTTGGAGGGAAGACCTGTGTCTATCAACCCCACTGCGTCGTCGCTCATCTCTTAGGATTCCTCTCCCCTCACCCCTCCCATCTCTCCCCAGGGCCTGGTGACGTCAGCCCTGAACTACGCTCTGATGACGGTGGCCAACAGTCGAGTGGGCCCCGCCACGGTGGCGCTGTACAACCCGCTGCAGCCCGTGGCCAGCGCCACCCTCGCCTACCTCTGCCTCGCGGCGCCCATCTTCCTCGGCAGGTCTGCTACACCCACTCCTTGAATCCCTTGCTCACTGTTGCTCTCTCAGGATGGGACCCATTCACACATTCTGCTTAAAATCTTTTACAAGTTCTTGTATAAAGGAAGCAATTAGCTTGCTTTGCGTGTGGTGTTTGTTGATTTGGGATTGGTGCAGTGTCATAGGTGGCGTCCTAGTCCTGTCCGGTCTGTACCTAGTGGTTGGAGGAGCCAGGGGCCAGGAGCCTAACAGGCATCATGCACTCGGTGATGATGATGCCACTAATACACTGGATGCAACAGCAGATCAAGAACCAGAAGGCGCACTCTTGCTAGACAGGCAAATAGAACCAAGCCGTGGCGAAACCAGTGCTGTCTGATGAATGAGTGATGTGTTCAGTCAGTGCATCCCAAGCATGTAATAATTTGTGTATCTCAGAACTCAGTCACAACCACTGAGTTAAAATGGCTAGTTACCGTGATCCGCCGGATATAGGCGCATAGGGGCTTATAGGAAATACCTAACCAAAGTGGCATGCACTTGTAATCGAATAAAAATTATAAGCCCAGGGCTTATGAAAGGAATTTTATGGAAACTTATTTGAGCACATGAAAATGTAGTTCTTGAAATTTGCGCTCTAGCGCATGTGTTTCCGAAGGGCAGCATGTTGACAAGACGCGAAAGTTGGGTGACAAAGCTTCCGCCACCAGATCCACCCGAGAATGTCTGATATTGCGAACCAATCAGAGCCTACGCTGTGAGCGAAATTCGTGCTTCTGGTTCGAGAGGCGATCGGGGAGGGGGGGGTAGTGTTGAGCAAGAAGCACACAGCTCAGGGTGGCACTACTAGTCCAATCTCTGAGGCAGAGGTCCGAAGACCAGTCAGCAAGAGTACAAACAAGACAAGAGCAAACCAAGGCGGCATTACAAGAGAAGCCACAAGGCTAGTCTGAAAGATATATATAAAGAGGAGAACACAATCAAGATCCTAGCAAGTGAGAATCTACAGGAACTAGACCAAGCTGCAAACAGTGCCGCTGATGATCTTTAGGCGCAAGCGCCTCAGTAAATATATGAGCTGTGTTGGCACCGGAGGCCAAGTGTACTACGCGGGCCTGGCGGCGCTGCTGTAGCTCGCACAAGAGGAAGTACCGCAGCTGGATGTGCTTCGCTCTGCCCTCGAATATGGGCTCCTTACACAGGAGGATCATGGCCCTGTCGTCAGCGTACAACACCGGGGCAGAACTAGGCCGCTCAGCTAAGTTGGTGAGCAAGAACGTCAGCCAGCAGAGCTCCAATGCCGCCATGGCACCAGCGTAGATCTCATCTTCACAGCTACATTGGGCAACAGACGAGGAGAGAGTGGACCTCCACGAGATGGCACCCGAACCAAGGCTAAAGCAGTAGCCCTAGGAGGACCTGAGGATCTCAGCCCTGTCTGCCCAAGAAGTGTCTGTATGCCCAGTAAAGACCATTGGTCGGCGTCCTCTCAGCACTAGCCCCATGCCCGATGTACTTGCTCGATAGCGCAAAACCCTCTTAGCGGCCGACCAGTGGTCACAAAGTGAGCCAGGATGCTGAGAGAGTATGCGAAATCTGGACGAGTGCAAGTCATTAGGTACAAGAGGCAACCCACCTGCTCTGCGTAAGGAACATTGGGCTCTACTGACTTCTCAGGAACTGGAGCTGAAAGCCTGTCATCTACTAGCAGAGGTGTGGGCTGTGCGGAGGAGAACTGAAGACCAAACCTCTGAAGGACCTAGCACACCAAAGGTGACTGTGTGAGAATGATGGTGCGCGCTGTTCTGTCCTTGGAGATCTGCAGGCCAAGGTAGCGGCGTAGCTCTCCTAGGTCAGTGCAGGTGTGTCTCCTCAGCAGCTCGGCCTTCTCGGAGGCAAGCGTGTCTCTGTCTGCATTAGCAAAGACCATGTCGTTTACGTAGACAAGGATGTAGAACGGATTCTCGCCAGCACGAACGAAGAGCGAGGGGTCTGCAGAGAATAGAAAGAACTGCAGGTCAGGTAGCGCAGCACGTAGCGTGTCGTGCCACTTACAGGGTGCCTTTCGCAGGCCGTAGACTCGCCGCCGAAGGAGCCACTGGGTCCCAGGAGGGAAGGTACCAGCAAAGTCCGTAGGACGGCACATGTAGACGTGCTCATGTAGGCTACCCTGAAGAAACGCACTGGAGAAGTCGAGGGAGTGTAACTCGTAGTCGCGCTGTGCTGCTACGTATAGCAGCGCCCGAAGAGTACTCATGTTCGGGGTCAGGGCGAAGGTCTGAAAGGAGTCCACCCCCTCACGCTGACTGAAGCCTCTAGCCACGTAGCGCGTCTTGAACACGGGTAGCTCTCTAGGGAGGCGCTTTACCTTGAAGAGCCACTGGCCATCGACTACGTTCACCCCAGGTGGGGGAACTGCGTCGACGTAGGTGCCGGTGGATCTCCAAGATGCCATCTCCTACTCCATGGCAGCTATCCACTGAGAGGTCTAGGGTCCCGAGGTCGCCTTACCGTAAGTGCGAGGGGTCGGGATGTCAAAGGCGTCAGGGTCACCCTCAGCGACTAGCAGCATGGAGCAGAGATGGGGAGCAGCCCCAGACAGAAAAGCAAGCTCAAACTGCCTATCCTCTTGGACGTCACTGCAAAGGGCAGACGCACCCCCAACGGATGGAGGAGAGACAGGGTCAGAGACCAGAGCGGTGGCGTAGTCAAGGTGGCGGGTAGAGGCGAAGTCAGCGACAGCAGTGACAAGAGCGTCAAGACTGGAGACAGGAATAGACGGGTCGGTAACGAGGAAGGCAAGGACTCGAGGAACGAGCAGACGAGCGGCACAAAGGAAGTCAGACAGAGGAGTTGGAGCATCAAAAAGCGAGGACGGAGGAGGCGACGGGATGAGGGGAGGACGAGACGCGTGGGAACGGAGCAACATAGGGTGAGAGTGCTACACAGGAGAGACAAGACGGGCATGAGAAGGACGGCGAGACGAGAAGTGGGACGGAGGCGTGGAATCAGGAGATACAAGAGGAGACACAGGAGGAGAACGAGGGGGGAAACAAGCCGGAGACGAGTCCGGCAGCAGAAAAACAGGGCCGTAGACAGTCGGGGGAGGCGGCTGCATGGGAGGCGCCGGTGGGTGGTCAGGGGAGGGAAGACCGAGGAGGCGACGGGCGGACACCGCCAAGCCGACACCTGAACCTCCAGCTGTACAACGGCTGCCTCCAGGTTTCTCCACACCAACACCCTCAGGATGAGAACCCCCTCCAGCACCGATGCCAACACCAGGACTACCACCCCCAGGACCAGCACCCCCAGAACGAGAACCCTCCTGAGCACTGGTGCCACCCCCGAAACCGCCGAGACAGTAACCCCAAAACTAGCACCGTGCTCAACACACGCACCCCCAGAGCTAGCGAACCCTTGCGCCGGCTGCTGCGGCGGTGGCGGCCACTGCGGCTGCTGCTGCGGCTGCGATGGTGGCGACGGCTGCGACAGTTGCGGCTGCGGCGACGGCGGAGGAGGAGACACCGGGGTGGAGACAAGCGGCGAGAACGATGTCGAGGGGCCACCAGACTTAGCCGACTCCTCGACCGAGATAACCGACGGGAGGGGAGTGATGTGAGACACACCACACGGGGAAGGACAGGGAGGGAGAGAAGCAGGGGCTATCAGGGGAGTGGGACCCACAAACAGAGGCGGGGAAACCGGGAGACAGCGGTGGGGAAAGCGGTGGTAGAAGGAGACAACCTTATCAAAAGTGACGTCACGCGAGTGACACAAGCGGTGAGACGGCGGCTGGTAAAAGTGCCAGTCAGACGCGTCAAGGGGGTGTTATAATCACAATAGGCTCAGATGTTCCTATAATGAGAGAGAGAGAGAGAGCACAGTCGGATTTCCGTCAGACGGCTTCAAATATTGATAACTATCTGCTCGCTTAATTAAACGGTGATCTTTAAGTTGGATCTAGAGCGCATTGTTGTCGTTTATCAGCAGCAGTTTGAATCATGAAATTCCATGAAGATTTGACGACGCTATGGCGGTTTGACTGGCAAGAGGTATAGCAGCCACAATAGTCTTAGAAGAACAAACTTAGCAAGAAGAATTCGAGATGGAGATGATTCCCAGCCTCTACATACCCCAAGAGCCGAGGTCTAGGTTGGTGGTACACCACCACAGAGTCCCCAACCATGAAGATTCTCGAAACAAACCCTCCAAGGGGCTACACCAAGTGAAATGTAACACTACACAAAGTAGCGTTACTATTTTCACTATTTAATATTTATCCGTGTCCCTTGGGCTTGAAATCTTGAGCTCTTGGTCTTGGTTCTGCAAGATAAATTCTCCTCGAGTTGATGGGGGCTTGCTGCACACACCTGCGACGCGATGGACACTTCACACTCGACAAAATAGAAAAAACACATGCAAGACGCAAACGACGACTTGACATGCGAGTTGTAA